TTATGCTGCTCTTGTCACCCAAGTCCTCTGGAGAGAGGGGAAAAACACTCTAAAACAGGCTGCATTGATTCTCATTATTTCCCCTCTCTCTAGTTTTAGCATCATCTGCAGATTTTCTTTCCATGCCTTTAGCTAAAGTAGCAATATAAATACTGGAGGTCCTCAAATGAAGTAATCATTGCCAAATTGAAAAACATGCAAGACTTATAGTGGAGGCTGTGCAAGAATGAAGAGAAATTCTGACCATGACAGGGGCAAACAAGGTCATTCTTGCCCTGCAGCAATGCTGGAAGAGAAGTGGCCGTGGCTAGAATGTCAAGCTCTCCTCTGAGGCTCCTTAGGCTTCATTGTCAAAGAGGATGCTTGGAGGAAAGGCAAGATGGGCCATTGCATTGTAAAAGTAGCCCCCATTGAGGCAATGGAAGGGAATCCCTAAATGTTAAGGATTCAGGTTCTTCTTTAAGACTCCTTTCCTAAAGCTGCAAGTTCCATACAAAATACGATGAACAAAAAGTCTCCTCTACTATTGGAGGAAAAGGTTTACTGGGAAGAAAACTTCTCAGTAAATTTGTAAAAAGAACTTGAAGCAGAATTTAATGGAAGAGGTTTAATGAAAGTAAAAGACTGGGTCCTGAAAATGGTGAATATGGAATGGATAAAAGAGGAATTAAGAGGAAGAGACTTAGAATGGTATAAGTATAAACAGATCTTTAAAAAGAAATCCTCATCAGTGTGGTAAAAGGCAAAAGGAATTGTATTACTAAGCAGAAACAAGCAACGTATCTGTTTTCAATGCCATTCTAAAAACTCTGCATACAGGACATACCAAAACAATGGTACTGGTACTGGCGTCACTTTTTTTTTTTGTTACGGAATATTTTTCATCATCAATCTTGTATCTACTGTGTCCCTATTTTTTTCGTGTCAGAAGCAACTTTAGAAACTGCAAGTTACTTCTTCTGTGAGAGAATTGGCCGTCTGCAAGGACATTGCCATGGGGGTGCCCGGATGATTGATGCTTAACATCCTGTGGGAGGCTTCTCTCATGTCCCCGCCTGAGAAGCTAGAGCTCAACAGGCAAGAGCTTACCCTGCTCCCCGGATTTGAACCACCAATCTGTCGGTTGACTAGTCCTGCCAGCACAAGGGTTTAACCCGTTGCTTCATGAAGACCACCCCCTTGTTCAAAGGTCTGCTTAAGCTTCCACAGTGTGATATATATTCTGATTTTTCTTTATTATAGTCACACTTTCCTTTCTGGTGAGCATAAGATACATTCTGGTAGTATTTCATGACTTTTGGTACCATGCTAATCTTTGTTGTCTCCCCTGTAGGTTAGGACCGAAGCATTGCAGACAGTGAGACGCTAAAAACACTTCCTACTCAGAACTCTTATAGCTGTTGTGTTAGAAGTCCTTTGGCAACTTAGACTGCTTCGTTTCTTGGGATGCTTAAGTTAAAGGCAGATGAAGGCAAACCAGCATTGCTGAAAAGCTCAAAATCACCCCAAACTTGGACTGAAGACGGACAGGTCACAGGTTTGAATCCAGGAAGAGCATGGATGAGCTCCCTCTGTCAGCTCCAGCTACCCGTGTGGGGACATGAGGGAAGCCTCTCACAAGGATGGTAAAACATCAGAAACATCCAGGTGTCCCCTGGGGAGTTTCTCAATTCGCTCCTGACACACATACACAAAAAACCCCAAACTGCAAAGGAAATTCCAACATACCAAGGAAATCAGAACTGAAAGTGACTTCTGTTTCCAATTTTTGGACAACTACATGGTGGTGTTTATCACAAATATCTGGAGACCAAAAGTGCCCTCCTACTGCAGTTGCTGCCCCTCCCCCAAAAAACTACATTTATTAGTTCCTAGTTTTCCAGAAAAATGTTCAGGTAGCTTCTATACTTCTGGTTACAGGAAATGTTTCCCTTTGTATTTTATTTGTAATGCATCCCAATGATAAATATAGCAGCACTTTAAGATGCTTTAAGTCTTGTTCAGAAGTGGAATTTCATTATGAAATGTTCAACCCAGCACAAAAAAACAACAACAAAACCCAACACCTAATCCTGCCTGTGTGGAAATATCTGTTCAAACAGCTGTCGATATAAACCAGAAATGGATTTAGTGCTAAGTAATCTCAAAGAGGATTAAATGATATTAAATTGGAAAAGAATGTCTGTAAACACATGTTAGAAAACAATAAACACATCCAGTAAATTACAAGAAGCATTGCCATCCTATTTTATTTTCAGTTTTACTCAGAAGTAAACCACAGTAATCTGACAGAATTTACATCCAAGAACAAATATGTTGAATCTCAGTCAAACTGTGTACTCCTTCAACAATCACACTCTGATATTCTAGACTGTTCATGCTAGTGTTGTAACACATTGTCTAATAGAAACTTCTCTAAATAGCTGATTTATTGATTATGTGCTAATCCTACCTTTGTTTAAGGAAGGGGTGAGAATCATTGGCCTGCCAAATGTTGCCAGACTGCAAATTCCATTAGTCTTAGCCTGCATAGAGAATGGTGAGGGGTTTTGGGAATTAGTTTGCATAAACTTCTGGAGATCCCCATTATTCTCATCCTGATCCAGTATGGTGTATAGAAGGACTAGAGAAAGGAAAGGAAAAATTCCCTACATGCTTCTTCAAAGTACATTCCTCATCAAAAACAGAGAAAATGGAAATCTAGGGAAGCCCCCAAAACATGAACCATTTCTGCTTATTAGCACAGGTGAAAAGCTTTTAAGGACAATGTTTTAGACATCCAAAGGGATGTCTAAACTTTGTATCTTCAAGTTGTCTATTCCACAAAGATGATTATAATCACTAGAAGCATCATTGTACAATGTACATATTGGGCATTCAGAGTTGGACCGTAGAACTTTGGATCCATTTTTCTTCATAGCCTCACTTTTTTCCTTTATGGAATTCATGGCAGTATGAAAGGCTCTTCAATTGTTGTATTATTTATGTTGTGCGCTGCCCAGAGTCCCCTGGGGAGAGGGGGCAGGATATAACTAAACCTTACAACCTCTGAGGATGCTTGCCACAGATGCAGGTGAAACTTCAGGAGAGAATGTTTCTAGAACATGGCCATACAGCTCGAAAGACCTACAACAACACACTAAATAAACATCATCATGATCATTATTATTATCATAATCACCACCACCACCACCACTAAAAAGGTGTGTGGGTGTGTGTGGGTGCATCTTCAAGTTGTTTGTCAACTTATGGCAACCCCATGAATTTTATAGCATTTTCTTAGAGAAGCTGGTTAGAATATACCTATTTATGGAATGACTAATTGTAATGAACAATTAGCAGAAATGTGGAAGGTGGGACAACTATTCAGTACAATACAATATATTTGTAAACTCAGTCTGATTATTTTTACTTTTGGAAACATATCTGCAATAGGCCAAGATGTCTGGGGCTTTTTTGTTGTTGTTTCTTCTCTTTTTGAAATAAAAGAAACACTTTTCAATGAATTATTGCAGAAAATTTCCTGCATGTTCTGCACGGTAGACGTTTCCACTATACAGCATATCAGTCACACAGCAGATGATAAAGCCTTTCAAAATTACTCATGTCACTTTCAGACAATAAATATTGCTATGGATGTAATTTGAAAAGGGAGAGTTATTTCAGAATGATTTTTTCTCCAAGAAGAGTAAAATAAAAAGATATTTGGATATCAGTATTCTCACCTATTCAGAGGGAAAGGCTGTTCAGATACACACTGCAGTAAAGACACAATTAACAATACAATTCATACCATATACAAAATCAGGGTAGAAAACATGAGTGGGCACCATCCAAAGCCCAATGCCCTATTTTTTTTAATGAAAAAATTGCCCTCTATCAAACATTGAGGAAGATTGCTCCTTTCCAAGCTACAATGGAGCATTTCCAACTTGGGGCATAAAACAGGTCAGAGGAGTCCAAAAACTTGGTGAAATTACCCCCAAAAGTCATGTTTGGCTTTTTCAGCAATTCCTTTTTAACTCTGGAGAGACGAAGTCACACATGGCATCTAGGCTTTGGGAAGTCTGAATTCTGAATTTTCAACTATGCAATAGACAAACACTTTTAAACTGGTGTAAAACTTCTTGTTGAATTACTTGACTCTAAAAACAGAGTTTCATTCCCTCCATCTGCTGCTTTCCATTGTTAGCAGTTCAGGATGTACAGGAATATAATAAAAATTAACTAGGTGTTATTTATTAAGACTTCATGATAAATAACAGAAGAAACTATGATTTGAAAGCCCATTTCAGAAGGTGATGTTGATTTCCAACAAACTGGGTTATCAATTCAGGCATCACCCAAACCAATGGTTGAAATTGTAATCCTATACACATTTAATTAGAAGTGAACCCAATTAGACTCGACAGGACTTACATGGAGGGAGAATTAGATTTCACTCTGAACATCCTTAATATTGGCTTGGTGCAAAACTGCAAAAGTCCAGTAGTCTAAAATATAGCAACACAAACACACACACATAAAACCCTTTTTTACTCTTACAGTTGTAATTCCGCCTTGTGCTACCCTGATCATATGCACAGCTAGACCAATATTGCAACTGAATGTACATTACAGATATGTATTACATTATATTAAATTATCCACAATAGTTTAACCAGCTGTTTCAATTAACCTCCAAACATAAAATTCTGCACTGTTCATTCAATGAATACACAATATTATCTCTGCAGCGTGTCATTGAATCTGCAAAACTTAAGCAACATTGCATATATACAGTTTTTGAAGTTACCCTTAACAGTTATATTCCTTAACATTATAATCAGCTGTTCTATAAAATAGAGATTTCCAACTATATCAAAAACGTTTCTTTCCTCCACTCGTAGCCTCCTTTCACATCTATTTGAGGCATACAAAAAGCAAGACACATTTTAAAATGTATCTGTTCTGAATACTGTATTGTAATCTAAATGCATTTATAAATACATTTCGGATACCTGGATCATTCCTTAATGGACCTGCAATTCAGTCACGTAGAAGTTAAACAGCAAATTCAAACTGTATTGTAGAGCACAGTTTTCATGGATCCTTGTTGAACTCCCTTGCAAACTATTTGTTGTATTTTCTAGGTAGATTAATTTATAGCAGATTAAGACCGGCAAGAGACTTCCATATTTGCAATAATGTACTGTGTTAAAGCTCAGAAAAACTGATTGCTAAAAGCAATCAGAGTCCCCAAGGATTATAAATATATCCATGTTCCATATACTGTATATGTGTGTCTGTGCAAATGTTAGCAAGAAGCAAGCCATTAACAGAATCAAAACAATGATAGGGAAGCCATCAGTATGATAAAACCAACCTATAAAAAAAGCTCTAATCAAAATATTATTACTTATTTTTCTTAGTGTACAAAGACCAGTGCCAAGTGTCAGTGAGTCACTAAGAACTGGTCACTTGTTAACAACACTTGGCTGGTGTTAGAATCATACAAACTTGCTATTGATATGTTTTCCCAGTCTAGGATGTCTGAAAATATTTCAGTCCTCACAAAGAGATTATGTAAAAACTGAAGGATAATTATAGCACTAGTTTCTTCAGTTTTATTCATCATCGGCTATCTAAAATATGTTAGATGCATTTATATACGGGTTGAGCACCCCTTATTTGATATTCCAAAATCCAAAATACTCCAAAATTGTTCACCTAGGGGCTGAGACAGTAAAATGTTTGTTTTTTGATGTCTAAGTATATACAAATTTTGTTTCAGGCACACAATTATTAAAAGTACTGTATACAATTACTTTCTAGACATGTGTATAAGGTGTATTTGAAACACAAAGGAAATTCATGTTTAAATTCAAGACCAATCTCCAGGGTATATGCAGCCCCATTTTTAGCCTTGAGTTGACCCATTACTTTTGTGGACTCCTCATTTTTTTCTGCTTCCATTGATTAAACTTGCAATAAAAAGTGTTGTCTTTTGTTCTGATTTTCCTCCCTTATATTTAGGTCTCCGTTTCCCCAGTCCTTTAAATGTAAGGTTTATACCCCAATTTAGTCTAATTTTCAATCCTGCACCAGGGATTGTTGATATTTTTTGAGTTGTAGTATACTTAAACAAAGAGGTCTCCTACTTTTCTCTCTCTCTCACAGACATGCACTAATTTACAAGTCAATCTCATGTATAAATTGAGGTTAGGTTTGGAGGCCAAAACTATATATTTTTATTTGACCTGTAGATAAGTCAATTTGAATCATGCTATTATGCAATGTTTGTATGTATACTAGAGATGTAGCTATAATATTGGGCCTATTACATAACAGTTTCAATTTACAATGTATCCCATTGTGCAATGGCCCTATTACAAAATGGTAGCCCGTCATAGAGGTAATAGAACTTGCAGCCCTTCTTGTATTTTGCAGCTTCTGCTTTTCAGATCTCTCTTCCCAGAACCATTCCATGGTTTTTTATTGACCTCCTTGTCACATTGCCTTATAGCATTGTCATATTGCCTTGTAGTCTGGCAGTGAAGGTTAAACACCTTGTCAAACTAAAGCTCCCATGATTCCATAGCATTGAGTGCGTCAAACTGCATCAATTTTACATTGTAAATGCACTCAGAGAGGTCTTTGCCTGCTACCAGAAAGGCAGAAAAGAAGAGGCCAAATTGACCTTCTTCATTTGAAAGTCATCAAGCACCTCTCATTTTACTTCAGATGAAATCCATTGTCTGTCCCAAAAATTATGAGAATGACTTTTTGGCACCGCACAGAAGATCCAGAAAAGGAAAATGGAGATTGAGGCAGATGAAGGGAGAGGCTAAGCATACAGTTTGACCTTCTTCACTTGAGTCTGTGCCTTTGTAACAATTGGTACATTACTAGTTTCTGTGTCTTGTCACAGGAGAAAATGCAAAGGAATCTGAAACAGCATCCTTCAACTTCAAGAACTGAGAGTAATGTGGCTCATGTGAAGACTGCTCTAAACACTTCCCCACCCACCATACAGCTCTGATTCGGCTCTGTGTGGTTTCTTCTTATTCCCCAAGCTCAAAACCCACCTCAAAGGTCATCATTTTGGAATAGTTGAAAACATTGAGGTCAGTTGTGATGAGGGCTTTAAAGAAGACTACCTCTGCTGCTATGAGGAGTAGCATCAATGCTGGAATTGCTGTATTCGATCAGAAGGAACCTATTTTGAAGAGGATAAACTGTAATTGTATGTATGTTTCCAATGGTCTAACTCAACCAATGACCGCTGGTTACATCACAATATAACTTCGCTGCCACCAATCTAAATGTAATGGTCTACAACCACACAATTCACTCTTCCCTGTCCAACTGGCCCACCAACCACCAGAGTCAGTTCACAGAGCCACTCAAAAATGGAGGGAAACTCCAACTTAAAGAGTGATGGCTGTTATCCAGGCAGACCCCCTTCTTATATTGAGGCACAGCAAGACACACTGAATACTTGGGGTGAAGTATAAACAGATTTGTGAAGTTTATTTGAACCAGAACAAGAAGACTCCTCAGATATTAGAAGAGGTTCAGGTGCTTAGTGGTTTCAGAAGATTATCGTGCTGTTTCCTTAAAAGAAAATGCTTCCTTATCTTGTCTTCCACGGAACTATGTTCACTCACAGGTGAACTAACCGGGTTTTTCAAAACCCCTCAGTCCTCTCTTCCAGAGGCTCCTAATATAAGCACTCTGTCCCTTAGAGGTGCTCTAAAAATGTAGCACTTCTCCCCAAAGGCTATTTTTAATTTCCTCCTCACAGAGGTTTTTCCCTTCGACCTCCAAACACTTCTTTTCTCTCCTCAGACTACTGCCCTCTCTCTGGCACCCTCTAACTTCTGTATTATTTATTTATTTATTATTTACAGTATTTGTATACTGCTTTTCTCACCCCGAGGGGAAATCAAAGTGGTTCTGTAGTTAGGCAACACTCTCTAGCTCCCCTACCAATCAGGCAACACTATCATATAAGGAGCGGGTTGTTCCCTCTTCCTTTAGCTTGAATCGGGCCATTTCTCCCAAAGCCTAGAACTTTTCCTACACACTTGCCTGGCAAGGTAGGTCCATTCTGTTACAATGTTTAATTGGGGAAAAAAACATTCTCATTACTTCTGGGACAGACCATGTATGCACATTCATTTCCCCATGGACACATTTGGAGTATTTCTCACTATGTTCCATATTTCAGAGCATTCGGCATCTTACAGGGATAAATCCTCAAAGGCTGATGTTGGAATGAACCCAAATTGCAGTAACTGCACTCATGAATAAAACTAATATAATACAGGACACAAGGCCAGTGCAGAAACAACAGTCATAATAGAATGCCAAGAAGTATAAATTAAAAGAACTCATAATATGAATTGTAGCATATCTGATTATAGCAAAAGTGGACCTTGAGCCATAGTGATAATAAATTCAAAATAAGATTTCTACACTTACAGGGAATACTAGGTAAATTCACACAATTCTTCCTGATCAGGAAAAAGTTCTAAAAAGTAAAAATGTGAAAGGTCTAATATTTTTTATCTACAAAAAGCAAAACACAAAACTGCAGTTTGCATTGAGTTTATAGATTTTAAGATTGTTTCTTCTGTTAATGAACTTTCCAAAGAAATTGGTTGTTTTCCTCTTGGCTATGTTCATTATTGCATTCATCACACACTGCGTCACCCAAGGGCTGCATTTATTGCTTAACAAATTATTTTCACAATAAACCTTCCACTTCCAGCATATGGAAATGCTGACTGAAATGAATGCATGCTGAGAGCCACTCCAAAGCCAGGTCTGCAGTCAAACAAGTAAGATGACTTCGAAGATAGAGTGATAAAAACATGAAAGCAAAGAACGATAACAAAGCTGTGACATTTCAGCTATTGCGATAAGGTACGGGCTGCTTGGTTCAAACATGGCATATTCGCAATGCGGACTTCAATAATGTACTCTTAAAGTGATTACACTGATTTTCTAAAGACCTCATCAGACCAGGCTTAATTAGGCAGCATATGGCGGTTTCTCTCCAGTTTAACCACAGAGCCCATTGGCTCCCATCTCACAACATACAGATACTTCCAGAGGGGCTCAATGGCTAAACTAAAGCAGAATCAGCAAATGCTGCTGCAGCGGGAATACAGGACACTTCCCATATTGCACTAGCAACAATGAAGGGAAGCTGGGCATCCCAACCAGTGGAATGAGGTTTAAAATAAGTTGGGTTATGCGAGGCATGAGGCAACGGATTGTCCATGCCGAGCACCACCGGATTTACCACAATCCATAGTGATTTTGGCAGCCAATGTGACAAGGTCGCAAATCAGTGTCCTGCAAGTGAGACTTCAACTGCTAGATTGCAGGAAGTACAGTCAGCCATCCATTTTCATCGCTTTCACACACACAGTTTTAATTATTCATGGTTTGAAATGCCATCCCCTCCTGATGGTAGGGGTGCCATGTGAAGTGATGAGGAGACTGTTTGGGAGGCTTTTATGCCATGATTCCCTATTCTTATCAACATCTCCCTTTTGTTGCCTGGATGAAACAGAAATCTATGGCACTCAGAGCCTACCTGTGCCTTTCACTTACTTCCAATGTTCTGTGAAGAAATACTGGCGGTCCCACTCTTTACTTTGGCAGCTACTTTCACATTCTCTTTGCACATTGAGCAAGTCTAAATGGCTAAATCTGCTAAATCCACAGCCAATCTGGAGCAGAAATGAACTGGAATGGTCTCAGAGGTAGCCAGGCACACCTGCCCGATCACGGCTATGACCAGCCAGAATGGGTCCACACCAGCCCTGCTGGACCATCATCTCACCTCTGAGTTACTATTATCATGTCCAGGCAGACACAGAGCCCCTGGTTGTCATAGATGCCCCATTCTAACATCAGCAGAGGCCTGGAATAAGGAAGGGACCATTTCCCCATCTTCTTCTTGGTTGCATCGGCATCTGTTGATGTTAGAATGGGGTGCCTGCAATGGTCAGGAGCTCAGACAGAACATTGTGTCCAGTATAGTCTACTCCTGTTATTCTGCTCAGTGTGGCAACCTTTTCCTCTGAGATCATTTTCATGGTAAGCATGCCATTAGTTTAGAAAACAGAATATGGATTTCCTGAATGGCTGCTGATGCTACAAAAAACTATAAGGAATGGC